CAGGAAGTCGGTCGAGCAGGCGCGGGAGTGGCAGCGCCAGATCCGGGGGGAGAGCCGCCAGCTGGAGCGCGACATGGGCCGGATCCGCCAGGAGGAGGCGAAGCTGAAGCGGGAGATCACGCAGATGGCGGGCAAGGGGCAGATGCAGATTGTGAACACGCTGGCGAAGCTCGGAGAAGCACAACACGGCATCCTCATGAACTGCTCGGAAGCCCGTTCGGAGTTCTTGGTCGGGGGTTGCCGTGGGGGGGGGGCCTGGCCCCGGGTGCCTCTTCTTGTTCCCAACCTTCCTGTGTTGGGTTCTCGTTTTGAATAGAGCACCGTGGTCTCCGTTTGTCGTTCCCTCCCCTCCTCCCCCCTCTCCTCCTCCTGCCTCCTCCCCCTCCTCCCCCCCCCCTCTTCCTCCTCCTCATACCTCCTCCTCCTCCTCCTCCTCCTCCTCTTCTTCCTCAGCCTCCTCCTCCTCCTCCTCCTCCTCCTCTCCTCCTCCTCCTCCTCCTCCTCCTCCTCCTCCTCCTCCTCCTCTCCTCCCTCCTCCTCCCAACTGCCGCCGCTGCGAGGACTCCCGGGAGGCCAGCGGAGCGGGGGAGCTACGCAGACACCTGGCCGAGACCTCGCCTTCCCCTGGGGGGGGTGCAAAGAGAGCGCCGCTGTCGCCACCTTGCCTCGGCGGGAAGAAGGTGGGTGGGGGGGGCGAAGAGAGGAGGAGGAGGAGGGAGGAGGAGGAGGAGGAGGAGGAGGAGGAGGAGGAGGAGGAGGAGGAGGAGGAGGAGAGGGAGGAGGAGGAGGAGGAGGAGGAGGGAGGAGGAGGAGGAGATGAGGAGGAGGAGGAGGAGGAGGAGGAGGAGGAGGAGAGGAGGAGGAGGAGGAGGAGGGAGGAGGAGGAGGAGGAGGAGGCAGGAGGAGGAGGAGGAGGAGGAGGAGGAGGAGGAGGAGGAGGAGAGGGAGGAGGAGGGGAGGAGGAGGAGGAGGAGGAAGGCGGAGGAGGAGGAGGGGAGGAGGAGGAGGAGGAGGAGGAGAGGAGGAGGAGGTGGAGGCGGAGGAAGGGGAGGGAGAGCGAGGTGTAAGGATGGAGCAGGAGGGAGAAGGAGGGATAATGGAGAAAGAGGAGGAGGATTCGTGGGCTCCTGGGAGGTCCCACGGAGGTGAGTTGCACGCAGAGCCTCAGGGGAGGAAAACGTACCCATTCCCCCTCGCTCGGGGATCAGAGGGATGAAGAGGTACCCTCAGACCCCCTCGCGTTATGAAAACAAATCACGACGGCAAGCTTTTCGCTATTTTCGGCCTCCTGGGGCCTGGGGCCTCGGGACCGTCAAAAAACGATTCAGGCTGAAACACCAGTCCCGGGGAAGGAGTCCAGACCTCTGGGGGTCGACGCTGCGAAAAAATCAAGACGTCGGGGGTCTGGGCCCATACCGCTACCCTCCGCCCGTTTTCCCATTTTTGGGCCTCCTCGGCGGCCCTCGTCGCCTCCGTTGGATTCGCCTCGAAATCCTGGTCAGAACGCACCCCGGGAGAGGTCAGGGGAGTAGCGGTAGCGGTGCCATTTGGTTTCCCCAGCCCTCGTGGCTTCCTGAGGGGCTGCGAAGTGCGCCATTGTCGCCACTGTCGTCGTCTTCTGGGAGGTCAGCCACTTTTGTAGGCTCCTGGCAGGTCCAACGGAGTCGGTAGTCACGCAGATCCCGTCGAGACCTCGCGGCTCCCTGGGGGGCTGCGGACTTCGCCATTGTCGCCATTTTCGTAGGCTCCTGGCAGGTACAACAGAGTCGGTAGTCACGCAGATCGTGTCGAGACCTCGCGACTCCTTGGGGGGGCTGCGAACTGCGCAATTGTCGCCACGTTCATGGGTTCCTGGGAAGTCCAGCCGAGTCTGCAGTCACGCAGATCCTGCGGAGACCTCGCGGATCCCTGGGGGGCTGCGAACTGCGCAATTGTCGCTACTCTCGTGGGCTCTTGGGAGGTCCAGCCCAGTCAGCAGTCACGCAGGTCTTGTCGAGACCTCGCGACTACCTGGGGATCAAAGAATTGCGCAAGTGTCGCTCCATTCGCGGGGAGTCGGTCGACACGCAGATCCCGTCGTGACCTCGCGGCTCCCTGTGGCGGCTGAGAGTTGCGCTACTGTCGCCGCGTTCGTGGGCTCCCGGGAGGTCCGGCGGAGGGTGGACGCACGCGGAGATCCGGCCGAGACTTCGCGGCTCCCTGGGGGGGTGCCAGCGCAAGGTGCGCTGAGGAGGAGGAGGAGGAGGAGGAGGAGGAGGAGGAGGAGGAGGAGGAGGAGGAGGAGGAGGAGGAGGAGGAGGAGGGGAGGGAGAAGAAGGAGGAGGAGGGCGGAAGAGGAGGAGCAGGAGGAGGAGGAGGAGGAGGAGGTGGGGCAGGAGGAGGTTTTTTTTCAGGAGGAGGAGGAGGAGGACAATGGCGAGCTTGGGGGCCTCTTGGGCCGTCTCTGAGGCCTCTTGGCGGTCCCGGGGGCCTCTTGCGTATCTCGGGGAGCCTCTTGGGGCCTCTTGGGGGTCTCTTGGGAGCCCCTTGGAGGCCTCTTGGGGGCCTCTTGGGGCCTCTTGGAGCCCTCTTGGGGCGCTCTTGGGGCGCTCTTGGGAGCCTTCGGGGCGCTCTTGGGGCCATGTTGGATGAGGCGCGGCGGCGAGTGGCCGCGATCGGCGCGCGAGGGGCCGCCCCGGAAGAACCGGACTCGCTGTGGGCCAGGGCCGCCTGCCGGCGACGCCCGGCCCAGGTCGGCGCAGGGCCCCCCCCTCTCGAGAGCCGCACCGCGGGCGCCGGCTCTGGACTCCGGATGGGGGGCCCAGCGCCGACCCAAGGAGAGGAGGACGAGGAAGAGGAGGAGGAGGAGGAGGAGGAGGAGGAGGAGGAGGAGGAGGAGGAGAAGAGGAGGTTGAGGAGGAGGATGAGGCAGGAGGGGAGGAGGTTGGAGGAGGCGGAGGAGGAGGAGGAGGGGAGGAGGACGAGGACGAGGAGGGACGAGAGCGAGAGAGGGAGAGGACGAGGTGAGGAGGAGGAGGAGGAGGAGGAGAGAGGAGGAGGAGGAGGACCAGGAGGAGGAGGAGGAGGAGGAGTAGGAGGAGGAAAAAGGGAAGAGGAGGAGGAGGAGGAGGCGGAGGCAGAGGCGAAGGCGGAGGTGAAGGTGGAGGAGGAGGAGGAGGAAGAGGAGGAAGGGGAAGAGGATGGAGGAGGTAGGGGAGGGAGGAGGGACGTCTCTTGGAGGGGGGAGGCTTTCGCTGCCGAACGACCCAAGACATCCGAGCGGACCTCCGAAAATCTATGCTGGTGCCGTGTTTTCTTCTCCCAGAAGCAAGTGGTTAAATCCAGGAAGTCGATCGCTCGCCTGGAGCAGACGAGATGTTCGCTTAACGCCCTTAACCTCCAGCTGACCACCGCCATTGCGTCGGCCTCTGCGTCCAGCGCCATGAAGCTGTCCGCCTCTATGATGAAGGAGATGAACCAGCTGGCCAGCATGCCCGAGCTGCAGCGGACCATGCAGGAGATGCGCACGGAGATGGCGCGGGCGGAGGTGGTGGACGAGATGATGGAAGAATTCCACGAGGTTCGGAGGATAAACGACGGCATTAACCAAACTAATTCTAGACGCTTCGCGTATCCCCACCAGTTCGTCTGGTGCTTGCTTTCCCGTTCGCGGGTGGCTCGCAGCTTAATGAGGGGCATTTTGCCTCTTGCAGGTGCACCTGTTTCGTTGGCCTAGGCGCCTTCGTTACCAATTATCTCGCCCTGTGCCCCAGACGTGCTTGCCCCGCTTCCTGGACTTTTCCTTGGAGCCGCCAATCAAAAAAGTATCCCCACCAGCCTATCCAGAAATGAGTCCCAGGGGAGTGGAGGTGATGAGGGAAGCGGGGGAGCATGCAGAAGAACAAAGGGCGGGGTAAGCCGCCATATACCCCAAGAGGGGGAGGATGTAGGAGTCGTCGTCGTCGGAGTGGGAGGAGGAAGAGGAGGAGCAGGAGGAGGAGGAGCAGGAGGAGGAGGGGGAGGAGGAGGAGGAGGAAGATGAGGAGGAGGAGATGGAGGAGGGCGAGGACGTGGAGGACGGAGAAGGAGGAGAAGAGGAGGAGGAGGAGGAGGAGGAGGAGGAGGAGGAGGAGGAGGAGGGAGGGGGAGGAGGGAGGAGGAAGAGGAGGAGGAGGAGGAGGAGGAGGAGGAGGAGGAGGAGGAGGAGGAGGAGGAGGAGGAGGAGGAGGAGGACAATGGCGAGCTTGGGGGCCTCTTGGGCCGTCTCTGAGGCCTCTTGGCGGTCCCGGGGGCCTCTTGCGTATCTCGGGGAGCCTCTTGGGGCCTCTTGGGGGTCTCTTGGGAGCCCCTTGGAGGCCTCTTGGGGGCCTCTTGGGGCCTCTTGGAGCCCTCTTGGGGCGCTCTTGGGGCGCTCTTGGGAGCCTTCGGGGCGCTCTTGGGGCCATGTTGGATGAGATCTATCAAAGAAGCGGGGGTCGTATATTAGCCCTGCCCCTCTAGAGTGCCTCGAATCGCTTCTTGGGCCCCTCGTGAGGTGATCTTCGAACGCTCTTGGGGCCGTCTTGGGGCTCTCTTGGGCCTCTCTTGGGGCCCTCTTGGGCAGTCTTGGAGCCATCTTGAGGCCTGTGAAGGCCATCGGAAGCGAAACAGCGAGAAAGCCCAAAACATTGATTTTCCGTAGGTTTGGGCATGATTTTGGTCTCTCGGGGAGCTCCGTGGGGAGCTCTTTGGCCACTTGGGGCCGTCTTGGTGTGGTCTTTAGGCCTCTTGGAGCATCTTGGGATGCATTTTGAGGCATCTTGCGCTATCTTGAGACATCTTGGGCTCTCTGAGGCCCTCTTGGAGCCGTCTTGGGCCATCTTGGACGCCCCAACGACCCGCGGATCCCTCCGTCCAGGTCCAGGGGAGGGGGTAGGGGGAGGGGTAAACCCCTCCCCGAAGGTGAAGAAGGGGGTTGGAAGAGGAAGCTCTCTAGACCACCGACGCCCAGAGGGCTGGTGGGATTGTCGGCTGTCCGCGAAGATTTCTTGGAATTGCGAAAAGCCGTGAGCCCCTGTCAAGCGCGCCTCGGGCGGCGCTGGAGGCGCCGCCTGGGGCTGGGGGTCCCAGCGCCGATCCAAGAATCTTGCGCGGAGCTCCGAACTCTGCACTGTTCCTGCCTTCCCTACCAGAGGTGTCCGACGACGAGCAGGAGATAGAGGCGGAGCTGCAGAAGGTGCCCGGGGCAGGGCGGGTGGAGACAGCGGCGGCCCTCACGCACCAGCCTCCCGAGCCGCGCCCAGGCTCGGCGCCGACGGGCCCCCCCGAAGGCCAACTATACCGTTGTCTCCGCTCGCCCTCCTCCGAAGGTCATGGACGAGCTCGTGCTCGACCGCGCCCAGCTCATGGGCGGCGCCGCCGCGGGGCACGGCATGGCGACCCCGGCGTCCGGCACGCCGGCGGACGCGCTGCCGCCGCGCGCGGCGCCCGGCGCGGGGCAGCCCCTCCAGGAGCGGGTGCCCTCGCTGCAGCCCAGGTAGCGGGCAGGGTGGCGGGCCGCTCTGGCCGCGCGGCTGGCCGCCCCGCGCAGCACCGCTCGTCACGAGCCGCTGCTGGCGCTGCCGCCCCTGCGTCCCCAGGGCGCGCGCGGTGTGTTCGTGCAGCTGCGGGCGGGAGGGCGGCGCAGCCGCAGCGGCAGCGGCGCAGCCGCGGGCAGCTGCAGCTGCAGGCTGCGCAGCGCAGGGCGCAGCCTGCACCTGCAGGCTGTGCTCGTGCAGCCGCAGCTGCGGCGGCGCCGCGCAGGCTCCGCCTGTGCAGCGGCCCGCGGCGGCGGGCGCCGTGCCCCCACACGGCATGGCGCGCGCCCGCGCGCGCAGGCCCGATCGAGAGCAGCATGCTCCTGCTCCGAAAACGTGTTCGTCGTTCGTCCTGGGTGCTTTTCTTCCTCGGCCTCCTCCGGCTCCTCCTCGCCCTCGCCCCCCCCCCCTTATACCCCCTCCTCTCCCCCAGGCCCCGCCCGGCACCATTAAGGGGACCCCTCCCAGACAGGACCCAGGCAGGGCGCGGAGGGCACGCCCCGTGGCCGTGCCCGTCCGTGCCTCGTCCCCCCCCCCTCGTCCGTGCCCGCGCGTGGGACGCAGGCAGCGTGCGTCAGCCGCGTGCGCGCGCCGCGTGCGCGGGCGTGGGCCGCCCATGGTGCCCGCCGGCACCTTCCGCGCCCCTGGCGCCTCCCGTGGCGGCGCCGGGGCGCCCGGGCTGCGGGCAGCGGCCGCCGCGGCAGAGGCCCGCCGCACCGCCGCGGGCCGCTGCTGCTGGCCGCCGCCAGGGCCGCCAGGGTCGCTGGCGGGCGCCTGGCGCGGGGCCGCCGCGGCGGCGGCGGCGCCGGCCGCCGCGGTCGCCGCGGCGCGCCGCCGCCGGGGCGTCGAGGGGCCCGCGGCGCGAGAGCGGCCTCGGACGGGGCCGGGGGCGGAGCGGCGCCATGCGGCGAAGGCGGCCCCGGGCGGACACGCGGCGGCGAGCCCGGCGGAGGCCTCGGCTCTCCGGCGGCCGTCCGGGAAGCCCTCGGAACGCCCTCGGCGAGGCGCCGCTGCCGGAGAGCGCCCCGGGGCGCGAGGGACGCCGAGCGACGGAGCCGCCTTAAAGCCTGGAGTCTCGAACCTCCATCCTCGAAGTATTAATTGGGCGTGTCCCTCTACAGGAGGAAAACGCAAAACTTGTTCAACAAATACGGGGCCGATTGTTTGAACATTTTGCATTATTTGTTGTTTTCGATGTTTTTGTTTGTTCCTCCTTACTCCGCCTGTGTAGGGGGACATACCCGACCTTAGGGAATTAGGAAAGGGCGGGCCTTCTCAGAAGGCTCGGGAGTCCCCTGGCTTTCGGAGAAGCTCTCTAAACCGTCCCCGAAGACACGGCAAACCTTTCAGAAGGCCAGAGGAGGCCTTCTGAGAAGCCCCGCCGCCTTCTGAGAGGACCTTCTCTTACTCTCTTCCCCCCTCGCTCGCCGCATGCCCAATCGAAGTTCGAGGTTCGAGGTTCGAGGTTTTCGGACGTTCTCGTTCGTTCTCGGCGGCTTTCCAGCCTCAGGAAGTCTCCGTCAGCTGAGCCTCGTCGAGAACGTTTTGGGGGGGCCCGGATCGTCCCGAATGGCCGCCAGAGAGCCGTGTTGGGGCCCGAAATCCACCAGGGGATACGGTCGGGAATTTTGGTGGTTTCTTGTGTCGCTCCGCCAGTCCCTGATCTTCCAGAGTGCAGAAGAATAGCCCTCCAGACCGATAGACCTATCTGGGCTGTTTAAAACTTCGATTGGATTTTAGATGTCGAGGTCCTGGTGCTATTTTTGATCCTCGAGGAAGGTCTGGGGTGCTGGCCCACCACGTTGCTAGCTCAACGTCCCGAGCCTCTCCGAGCCTTCTGCCCCGACACGCCATCCAGGAGTGCCTGAACGGGCGCTGCTGTACCCATCGGCCGTTGAACGTGTATCTTGGGGTTCCCACGTAGCAATCTACTTTCTAGTCGCCTTGCTACTTCAATGATCGAGTGGCTTCACCTTTTCAGTTCTGTGTAGGGGGCGGGCGGAAATCCAATCTATTTTGAACGCCTTCCTACCTTGTGTTTTTACCTATGTCTTCCGACCGATGGGTAGGCATCAACGAATCAGGAGTGCAAATCCATTTACTGGCATTTGCAGATGTATGCTTGCACTCCGACTACCACCACACATCTCGCCAACTCTAGTGTACATGCGGGGTGGTCCTGGCAACGGTTGTCGAGGTTCTAGGTTTTCCGGCGTTGTCGTTTGTCTTCGGCGGTTTCCAAGCCTCGGGGTGCGTTCCAGGGGTGCCCGGATCGTCCCGAGCGGCTGCCGGAGAGCCGAGTGACTTGGAAACCGCAGGGGGCTTGGCCGGCCCCGAGATCTTGGCGACGCAGTTTTCGCAACGGGCAGCTTTGCCCTGTGTCGGGCACTGGGACCGTCATTGTCAAGCAGTTGCGAAGCGTCCTGTCTTGCCTAGAGGCGCGCCAAAGAATGATATAAGAACCTGTTTTGGTTTGCACGAAATGTTCCTGGACTGTCTTGTTCTACGAACATGTCGTGGTAGGCCTACAGGAGTGCCGGGACGTTCGGCCCCTGCTCAACATGGTTCGATCGGGCTCGAAGACTGCCACAGAAATGGCGGGGCCCAGGTCTCTGGCTCGGTTTTCCTGGACGATTGCGCAGTTTGTTCGTGACGTCGGATCTCAGGGCAGCGCCCCCCCGCACGGGCAGCGTTGCCGTACCTCGGGCACTGGGACCCTCATGGATCGATCGGGCTCGAAGGCTGCTGCAGAAAGGGGCGGGGCTCATGGCTCTGGTTCGGTCTTCCTCCCCGATAGTGCAATTTGTTCTTGGCGTCGGGTCTCAGGGCAGCGCCCCCCGCCCTTGACGTTAAGTCAGGCATGTCCCTTTACAGGAGGGGTATTTCCAGACTAACTAGTAGAGATTGTATGATGACGATTTGTCGTGCCAATTTGGCTATGCTTGAGCGTTTGAAAATTTGGTGCTTATGTTTCATTTTCCTTCCAGGATCCGCCCGTGGGAGGACATGCCCGACCTAACCCGGACGTCCTCGCGTCGCGGACAGATCACGACGGGAGATCTCCTGAAGTCTTCGGGCGTCGGGGCCCCTGCAGCCGGTGCTGGCCCACGACGCTCCAGCGCACCACGCTAGCCGCGCCCCAATCCCCGAGCACCAACGTCCCCAGCTTGTCCCAGGCTCCCGTCCCGCGAGAGGGCGACACGCTGTCCTCCTCGAAGGAATTGCCATGTCGCCGGGGCCGCCGCCGCGACTCGCTGAGCAAAAGAAGTTCCTGACGGCACCAGGCACCTTTTTTCGTCGCGGCCGCAGGCGAGCGCGCCAGCAGCGTCAGAGGTCGGGCGGGCTACGCGCGAGCCTGATTGCCTAGCGCGCGGGGACCGACGGCCGAAACTAAGCTGCCTAAGCTGCCTAAGCTGCCTAAGCTGCCGGGCGGCGCGAGGTGGTCCCAGGAAGCGCCGCACCAGGCCCCGGGGACCGTCAGAAAAAGGGCATCGGGCATGGCATGTCGCTGGGGCCGCCGCCGCGACTCGCTGAGAAAAAGAAGTTCCTGACCGCACCAGGCCCAGGGGACCGCTAGAAAAAGGGCGTCGGGATGACAAGCCAGATCCGCTTGGTGCGCCACTCCGCTGGACCTCCCAGGAGCCTGCGAAAGTGGCGATTGTCCCGCAGGTGGCAGCCCCCCAGGGAGGAGGAGGAGGAGGAGGAGGAAGAGGAGGAGGAGGAGAAGCAGGAGGAGAAAGAGGAGCAGGAGGAGGAGGAGGAGGGGAAGGAGGAGCAGGAAGAGCAGGAGGAGGAAGGAGGAGGAGCAGGAGAAGAGGAGGAGGAGGATTGGTGTACACCCAAGAGTCGTCAACGATGATTGAATACACCCTCCAAGCTCCCTCTTCACAGACCCCATACAAGGGTTCATTTCCACTGAGGGAACTGTCTCGTTGGGAAACAAACGTTTGACGACCCTGAAGCTTGTCAAACATCATTCTCGGGACTCCAACGCCACGAATCAACATGACTGCTGCGTTTTGACGATCCGGCGGAGTCCTACCAGAACACCACTCCTGGGATTGCAACACAGCGAATCAACATAATTGGTGTGCCCTCAAAGGAGCCGCCCTCGATCGTGAATCCCGTGCAAGTTTTTAACACGGGTGTTCGCGGCGCGAAGGCGACAGCCGAATTTTGAAGACGACCCGCCCAATCCGTGAAGCTTTTTGCGAAGTTTTGAAGCGAATGTGCGCGGCGCTCGGGCGCGAGCCACATTTTTCTCGCAGGCCTAGAGGTTGACACCAACATCAATATCGGCGTTGTGCCTCCACGACTTGCGCGGCGCTCAGGCGAGAGCCACATTTCGAAAATGACCCGCCCTCCAGTTGTGAAGCTGGTACCAATTTTTCATCTTCAGGGCCATACATGGTGAGGAAGTCTCCAGCGGAACGCCCGCCGCCCTGCCGACCGGCCTCGGGGTGCGACGGGGAGGAGCTACTTCTAAGGGAAAGGACTGGGAGGGAGAAGACCCAGGCCTCTGGCGAGCCCCGCTGAGAGCAAAGGTCAACGTCGTCGGGCAGGGCCCCGAGGCTTCCAGCCATAGACTGCGAGGGCTGCACGTGTTGTGAAAGCCGCACGGCCTGTGCTGCCGACCCAGAAGGACGACGACGACGACGACGACGACGACGAAGACGACGACGACGACGACGAAGACGACGACGACGACGCCGTGCGACGGCGGGGGCCCTCGGCAGCTCGGGGTCGCCTCCAGGTGGCAGCCGCGGCCCCGCGTGCCCCGCCGCCGGCACGCTGCGCTGGCTGGACGAGCTGGTGATCCGCGAGGGCCTGTGCCCCTGGGCGAGGCCGGTGCGCGCCCGCACGCGGACGGTGGTCGTTGAGGGGCCCTCTGGGCATCGCCGGACGGAGCTAGGACGAAGATGAATCCGTTCCAGAGCTCAGAGGAGGAACAGGTACCCACGCCTCTATCCCTCGCCCGTGTTTTCGCCGTTGGGCCTTCTCGGAGGCTCTCGGTGTCGCCGCTGGATTCGCCTCGAGAGCCCGGCCGGAACGCACCCTGGGAGATGTCCGGGGGAGTAGCGTTGAGTCGGGCCTGTTCCCCTACAGGGGGATTTTCGGCGAAAAATGAAAAATACACCGAATCGTTGTTTGACGGGTCGTGATTTTTTCACAACGCGAGGGGATCTGATGGTACGTTTATGTCGGGCGTGTCCCTCGGCGAAAAATAAAAGATACCCCAAACATACCCCAAAAGGGTCAAACAATATTCAGAAAATAGTCCCCGGAATATTTCTTGATTTTT